ATATATGAAATATGTTTCTCTGAGAAGGAATCCAATAGATTTCACTAGATTCTCAAGGGGATCCATGGGGCAAAAAGGTCAAGAACTCCTGTTCCAAATAGAAAGGAGATCTATCTGTGCTCGGCTTGGGTTACGTCATAACCAGGCAGTATAACCAGAATGGTAATGCTGTCCCATGTCCAGAGCTGCAAAGGTTTTACGGTTTTAAATGTAAGCTTTTAGGGATTTTCTTGAATTATTCAGGTTTTTACATTGTAAATGTGTTTAATTAAGAACTTTTAATTAACTGGTTTCAATGGGGGGGGTTGCAAGCAAGTTTTAATTAAGAGCTTTTAATTGAGTGGTTTCAATTTAGGGGTTTGTAAACTGGTTTTAATTAAGGTCTTTTAGTGGAGTGGTTTCAATGGTGGGGGGTCATTCCCACTTTGGCATTGCAAAAATAACAATGAAACAAGACAGGCAGACATGTTATAAATATGCACCAGAGCAATCAGTCAGGGTTTGTTCAACAAGGGACGGTTAATTCCACCCTTCCCTGGCTTAACATTACGGGGGGACATGGCATTTTATATTTCTAGGGCTGGCATTCATTTCAAACTTAGACTCAGGGAATTGATGTTATGATTTTGAAGGTATAACACTGGTGTGTATGAGATGGTTATGCACTATAATGGTTGTGCAGTCATGACCACAGACAGTTATGTATTTAAATGGTCATGTGGTCATGTTTGATGACAGAATACGAAGGTGTGATGGACTTGGAAGTGCAAGGATCTCCACAGGTAGTCAAGCTCAGGAATTATTGTAACTCTGACCTAAAGGCCATAATAAAGGTTTGATGATGTGTTGTTATAAGGCACTGGTTGGGGATCTATGGCCCTCCAGATGCTGGATTTCAATTGTCCATTGAAAGGCAAGGTCTCCCTCGCAACATTTGTTTTGGTTCTCAGCCTTTCCCTACATTTCCAAGGCTGTTAATAGGATGTTGTCAGATTATGATTTACTGAAGAGCTCAGTTAGAAAATTCCGTTTAGAAAGATGAAGCTGCCAAGAAGCTAAAAAAAAAGAAAAAAAGACCTAAAATAGTTTAATCATTTTCTGTTGTTTTTTTTTTAAATCACCTTTCACATTGAGTCCTGTCTTAGTAGGGACAGTAAGAAGGCTTAAGTCCTGCCTCTTAGCTAGAAGGAGTGGATTTAACCCCTGTCCTGTTGGTTCCATCTTTAGTGACCAAGTTGCATCTGCCTTTGCGGACTTATACTAAAAATCAAGCAATATAATCTTCTCAGGGATCCTTCACCCCCAAAGTTTCTAACCTTTTTACCAAGGTATTTAGGCAGAGCCTCTTCCAGCTTTTGATTTTACAAGTGAAGGGAAAATTAGCAAAGTCCTGATGTTAAATTAGGCATAACTTTCCTGCTCTTGGGTGTAACAACCTGACAGTTTCTTTAAAAAGCACTGCTTCTTTCCTTTCTGCAGAGGCTGGGGGGTCTTCTTTCAGGCACAGGGTGATAGCTGTATTTGTAGGAAAGAGCTGTTGCTTGGGGAGACATACATCTTCTGTATGTCTCGGGGTTTAATTTTCCCTTGGAAAGCCTTCTTTATCAAGGCAACTGCTTTGTTAGTCTTTGCTGCATCTGATTTTGCTCTGCATCAACATTGGGACTGTGCGCTTTACCTTGTAGCCCCCTAGGGCTTGCAATGGGCTACCAGATCTGGGCTGCAAAACCTTCAATCACCACTAGATGGCAGGAAAGAGATGGAGAAAAGTCTGGCTTCGCTGCCATCTAGTGGTCAGCTAGATTTTGGCAACCTAAGATTTGGTACCTCAATTGTGTGTGTTTTTTTAATGGCAAGTGGTCTTTGACCTTCAAATTATAATCCAATGAGCTTCATGTGCATTATTTCAGGGGGGAATAGCAGATGGTTTCTTGCTATAATGTTGGAATGCAGGTCATTTTTGGATGAGGAAAGAGAGCAAGATTAGACACTGAAAAACCAGAATCTAGTCCCAGTGATGAGGTGAAAGCATGCCTTTCAGCTGTAATCCTGTTGGGCTATTATTCATTGATAACTTGATTTCCTACTCAGTCTGAGCACTCAAGGCAGATAAGAATTCAGCTGAGG